GCCAGCTGGTTTGGACGAAGAAGACATTGGTAACTACTGAGGAGAATCTTCTTCCCTCGACAGGCCCATGCAAGCAAATCAGCTCTATTGAATTTAGAACGTGGAGTGAATTACACGAGAAGCTGGGAAGTGTAAGTGGCAGGAAAACAGATTGATCAACTCTATTGTAGGCTCCACTGCGTGTAGCTATGAACGTGAGGACGAAACAAAATGATCAAAAAGCATTCAAAAATTTACATGACCTAATGACACAAGGAGACGTAAAGTGAGTAGAAACCTGGTGTGCTTGTGCAGATGCCAAATCAACCATCCTCAAAACTCGGGTTGATGAGGACGAATACCAAAGGGCCTTTCTGCTTTCTCTTTCTTACAGTGCCAGTGAGGCAGAAAGCACTTCTATTATTTATGACTGTATGGTTTTGTTTGAAAGCCTGAAGGTGAGCGAGTTGGTACAGTGAGGGGAAAAAGTATTTGATCCCCTGCTGATTTTGTACGTTTGCCCACTGACAAAGAAATGGTAGCTTTATTTGAACAGTGAGAGACAGAATAACAACAAAAATATCCAGAAAAACGCATGTCAAAAATGTTATACATTGATTTGCATTTTAATGAGGGAAATAAGTATTTGACCCCCTCTCAATCAGAAAGATTTCTGGCTCCCAGGTGTCTTTTATACAGGTAACGAGCTGAGATTAGGAGCACACTCTTAAAGGGAGTGCTCCTAATATCAGCTTGTTACCTGTATAAAAGACACCTGTCCACAGAAGCAATCAATCAATCAGATTCCAAACTCTACACCATGGCCAAGACCAAAGAGCTCTCCAAGGATGTCAGGGACAAGATTGTAGACCTACACAAGGCTGGAATGGGCTACAAGACCATCGCCAAGAAGCTTGGTGAGAAGGTGACAACAGTTGGTGTGATTATTTGCAAATGGAAGAAACACAAAATAACTGTCAATCTCCCTCGGCCTGGGGCTCCATGCAAGACCTCACCTCGTGGAGTTGCAATGATCAAGAGAACAGTGAGGAATCAGCCCAGAATTACACGGGAGGATCTTGTCAATGATCTCAAGGCAGCTGGGACCATAGTCACCAAGAAAACAATTGGTAACACACTACGCCGTGAAGGACTGAAATCCTGCAGCGCCCGCAAGGTCCCCCTGCTCAAGAAAGCACATATACAGGCCCGTCTGAAGTTTGCCAATGAACATCTGAATGATTCAGAGGAGAACTGGGTGAAAGTGTTGTGGTCAGATGAGAACAAAATGGAGCTCTTTGGCATCAACTCAACTCGCTGTGTTTGGAGGAGGAGGAATGATGCCTATGACCCCAAGAACACCATCCCCACCGTCAAACATGGAGGTGGAAACATTATGCTTTGGGGGTGTTTTTCTGCTAAGGGGACAACTTCACCGCATCAAAGGGACGATGGACGGGGCCATGTACCATCAAATCTTGGGTGAGAACCTCCTTCCCTCAGCCAGGGCATTGAAAATGGGTCGTGGTTGGGTATTCCAGCATGACAATGACCCAAAACACCCGGCCAAGGCAACAAAAGAGTGGCTCAAGAAGCAGCACATTAAGGTCCTGGAGTGGCCTAGCCAGTCTCCAGACCTTAATCCCATAGAAAATCTGTGGAGGGAGCTGAAGGTTTGAGTTGCCAAACGTCAGCCTCAAAACCTTAATGACTTGGAGAAGATCTGCAAAGAGGAGTGGGACAAAATCCCTCCTGAGATGTGTGCAAACCTGGTGGCCAACTCCAACAAGGGTTTTGCCACCAAGTACTAAGTCATGTTTTGCAGAGGGGGTCAAATACTTATTTCCCTCATTAAAATGCAAACCAATTTATAACATTTTTGACATGTGTTTTTCTGGATTTTTTTGTTGTTATTCTGTCTCTCACTGTTCAAATAAAGCTACCATTAAAATGATAGACTGATCATGTCTTTGTCAGTGGGCAAACGTACAAAATCAGCAGGGGATCAAAAACTTTTTTCCCTCACTGTATGAGCAGCTTCTTCTGAATGACTCAACTAGGTTTGGCCAATATACCGACGGTATTATTTTCAATACTGTGCTTTTAGGGGGTTGGGGGCTTGAGTTGCTTCTCTGAATGTCCTTGAGTGGCCCAGCCAGAGCCCGGACTTGAACCTGATCGAACATCTCTGGAGAGATCTTTGTTGAAGCACCTTTGGCAGCGATTACAGCCTCGAGTCTTCTTGGGTATGACGCTACAAGCTTGGCACACCTGTATTTGTGGAGTTTCTCACATTTCTTCTCTGCAGATCCTCTCAAGCTCTGTCAGGTTGGATGGGGAGCGTCGCTGCACAGCTGTTTTCAGGTCTCTCCAGAGATGTTAGTTCGTGTTCATTTCTGGGCTCTACGCCACAGCTTATAACTATACTGATCCAAAATATAAACGCAACATGTAACAATTTCAAATATTTTACTGAGTTACAGTTCATATTAAGGAAATCAGTCAATTGAAATAAATGCATTAGGCCCTAATCTATGGATTTCACATGACTGGGAACACAGATATGCATCTGTTGGTCACAGATACCTTAGACAATAGTAGAGGCCCGCAACACATCACATAGTTGATCAGGCTGTTGATTTTGGCCTGTGGAATGTTGTCCCACTCCTCTTCAATGGCTGTGTGAAAGTTGCTGGATATTGGCGGGAACTGGAACACGCTGTCGTACACGTCGATCCAGAGCATCCCAAACATGCTCAATGGGTGACATGTCTGTTGAGTATGCAGGCCATGGAAGAACTGGGACATTTTCAGCTTCCAGAAATTGTGTACAGATCCTTGCGACATGGGGCCGTGCATTATCAAGCTGAAACATGAGGTGATGGCGGCGGATGAATGGCACGACAATGGGGCCTCAGGATCTCCTCACGGTATCTCTGTACATTCAAATTGCCATTGATAAAATGCAATTGTGTTCATTGTCCGTAGCTTATGTCTGCCCATACCATAACCCCACCGCCACCATGGGGGACTCTGTTCACAACGTTGACATCAGCAAACCGCTCGCCCACACGACGCCATACACGTGGTCTGCGGTTGTGAGGCCGGTTGGACGTACTGCCAAATTCTCTGAAACGACATTGGAGGTGGCTTATGGTAGAGATATGAACATTACATTCTCTGGCAACAGCTCTGGTGGACATTCCTGCAGTCAGCATGCCAATTGCGCACTCCCTCAAAACTTGAGCCATCTGTGGCATTGTGTTGTGTAACAAAACTGCACATTTTAGAGTGGCCATTTATTGTCCACAGCACAAGGTGCATCTGTGTAATGATCATGCTGTTTAATCAGCTTCTTGATATGCCACACCTGTCAGGTGGATGGATTATCTTGGTAAAGGAGAAATGCTCACTAACAGGGATGTAAACTAATTTGTGCACAACATTTGAGAGAAATAAGCTTTTTGTGCGTATGGAAAATGTCTGGGATCTTTTATTTTAGCTCATGAAACATGGGATTTATATAAATATAAATGCAACACTTTACGTGTTGCATTTATATTTATGTTCAGGGTATAACTATATGAAATCAAATACATTATAAATAAATTATGTCCAACCCAGGGCTCCAGTTATGCACAGAAACGGTATTACGGCATGAACATCTGGACACCGCCCAACCCTAGATTCAACTTCTGAGTGTCACTTGAAGTAGTGGTCCTCTGTAGCTCAATTGGTAGAGCATGGCGCTTGTAACGCCAGGGTAGTGGGTTCAATCCCCGCGACCACCCATACGTAAAAATGTATGCACACATGACTGTAAGTCGCTTTGGATAAAAGTGTCTGGTAAATGGCATATTATTATTATTATTATAAGTAGCTAAAGCTACAGTGCAGTTAGTGTCTCCGGTCTTCCTGTGAGAACACTTCCTTTTCCTGTGGTCAATACCTCAACTTTTGTCAGATGCTTTGTCAGTCAGGAAGTGAGATTGAGGATGTCGCAACCCCCTTCTTAGTCTCTGACCTCGTCATTTAAGACTCAGGAAGACTCATCACACAGTATGACCAAACACCATCTGCGTTCATTTGAGTTAAGTACTAGATAAGTAACCTCTGGAAGTGGCTGCATTCACCATCAAATGGAAACACTGTGTCGTGTCCCCCCTTGTCTTGAAGATGAAAGATGAAAGCCAGGTCCAGAGTTAAGGGAGGGCCCAGTTAAATTATGGCACCACTCCTCGGAACTGCTTGGCAACTGCCCCAGGGCCCACTATAGAGACATTAGCTAGGTGTGTCCCATCTGTCTACCAACACCCTGACCTCAACACAAATTCCTATAAAGAAGAGTGTGTGTGTGTGTGTGTGTGTGTGTGTGTGTGTGTGTGTGTGTGTGTGTGTGTGTGTGTGTGTGTGTGTGTGTGTGTGTGTGTGTGTGTGTGTGTGTGTACACCATAATCACAGCCCTGTCTTTAACCTTCTGCGCTCCAGGGGAAAACAGAAGGGTAACTAGGCAACAGATGTTTTAACAGGCACTGCTAAGCCTGTTAACATTTAGTATTGCATTTGTTTTGAAGGCTATAATGTGTTGATTATACTTGCTTATAAGGTCACTGTTCTTAATTCTAGTATATTGTATTATATTTTAACTTCTCTCCCCCCGTCTCTCTGCAGTACTGACCTCTATTTTAACCTGTCTCCCCATGTCTCTCTGCAATACTGACCTCTGTATTTTAGCCTGTCTCCCCCTGTCTCTCTGCAGTACTGTCCTCTGTATTTTAGCCTGTCTCCCCCTGTCTCTCTGCAGTACTGACCTCTGTATTTTAACCTGTCTCTCCCTGTCTCTCTGCAGTACTGACCTCTATTTTAGCCTGTCTCCCCCTGTCTCTCTGCAGTACTGACCTCTGTATTTTAACCTGTCTCTCTGTACTCCACATAGCTAAACCTAACCCCTCCATCTCTCCCTCTGCAGTACTGACCTGTCCTCTCTCTCTCTCTCTCTCTCTCTCTCTCTCTCTCTCTAGTACTCTACAGAGCTGAAGAAGCTGTACTGTCAGATCGCCAAGACGTGTCCCATCCAGATCAAGGTGCTGACCAACCCCCCACAGGGCGCTGTCATCAGAGCCATGCCCGTTTACAAGAAGGCAGAGCACGTCACCGAGGTGGTCAAACGCTGCCCCAACCACGAGCTCAGCCGCGAGTTCAACGACGGTTAGTTAGTTATGTCTCTCTCCTAAATTAACAATAAAAGTCACACACTGTTCTCTCCTTGTAGAATTCAATGATGGTTAGTTAGTTAGTGTATATACCCCTCTAAGACACTCCTAAAGCACTATTGAAAACGTATTTATCTTATATAAATATAAACATGCAACATATTCTGCTGTTTAAGGTCAACTCCATTAGTTAATCATATCTCTCAGGAAATGCTCCTTGCAGGGAGCATTTAGTTACCAACGGTTTGGATCACATCTAGGTTTGGATCACAGGACTATATCTAGGTTTAGATCACAGGACTACATCTAGGTTTGGATCACAGGACTACATCTAGGTTTGGATCACAGGACTACATCTAGGTTTGGATCACAGGACTACATCTAGGTTTGGATCACAGGACTACATCTAGGTTTGCTAGCCCTCTCAGATGTTTCCTGTACCATGACGTTATTAACTAACCTTTACCTCTCAGATGCTTCCTGTACCATGACGTTATTAACTAACCTTTACCTTTCAGATGTTTCCTGTACCATGACGTTATTAACTAACCTTTACCTCTCAGATGCTTCCTGTACCATGACGTTATTAACTAACCTTTACCTTTCAGATGTTTCCTGTACCATGACGTTATTAACTAACCTTTACCTCTCAGATGCTTCCTGTACCATGCCGTTATTAACTAACCTTTACCCCTCTCAGATGCTTCTTGTACCATGACGTTATTAACTAACCTTTACCCCTCTCAGATGCTTCTTGTACCATGACGTTATTAACTAACCTTTACCTCTCAGATGCTTCCTGTACCATGACGTTATTAACTAACCTTTACCTCTCAGATGTTTCCTGTACCATGACGTTATTAACTAACCTTTACCTCTCAGATGCTTCCTGTACCATGACGTTATTAACTAACCTTTACCTCTCAGATGTTTCCTGTACCATGACCTTATTAACTAACCTTTACCTTTCAGATGTTTCCTGTACCATGACGTTATTAACTAACCTTTACCTCTCAGATGCTTCCTGTACCATGACGTTATTAACTAACCTTTACCTCTCAGATGTTTCCTGTACCATGACGTTATTAACTAACCTTTACCTCTCAGATGCTTCCTGTACCATGACGTTATTAACTAACCTTTACCTCTCAGATGCTTCCTGTACCATGACGTTATTAACTAACCTTTACCTTTCAGATGTTTCCTGTACCATGACCTTATTAACTATGCCTAAACTACCACTGATGAACCATTGATAACTTATTTATCTACTTTGATATGAATATGAACATGTAACATGTTTTTTTGGTGGTTTGATAAGCATAGGGTATGTTGTGTTTTGTAGGTCAGATAGCCCCTCCCAGTCACCTGATCCGAGTGGAGGGTAACAGCCAGTCCCAGTATCTGGAGGACTCCATCACGGGCCGTCAGAGTGTGCTGGTCCCCTACGAGCCCCCTCAGGTAAAGGCATACCCCTCGTTGCCACCGGGCCACAGCCATAGAGATCCTATTAAAGGACTAGAGGGGCTATGTCATAAAACCCTCCAAGTTCAAGTAACGGAGTGAAAAATGGCAGCCATGTTGGTCAGGGAGAAATCCAAACCCGTCTCATTTGAATGAATGGCAGTAGAGACATAATCCTGATGTATGCAGGACAATAAAAATAAGAGTGATATATCAGAAATTGTGTAATAGAATTATTGTCAAATAGTCATATAATTATAAATACAGTTTATATGAGTTTTATACCAATTTTATACAGCCTCTAAAATATATGTAAACAGACCGTAGATGTCTACATTTGAGTTTTCTTGGAAAGCTGTGATTGCTATTATATGAGACAATATCAGTACTTGTTGCATTTACAACTTGTCCAAGTCCTGTCATCAACTGATTTTCAGGCTGTGGATTGACTGCATTGTTTGAATGGAATGTTGTCACATTGGCAGTTAATTTGACAAATTAATGGAATAATTCCTCTAAAACTGGCTGCCTAGCTAGCTAACAAACATACAGTGCAGATAAACTTCAAATTCATTGTTTTACACAATAGCTTATGACATCACTGGCTGACCACTGCCCTTACCAAAATGGCTGACCTTTTATACCGTCATAAGAAGTTTCATGTCCATTTTAGTATTCTAATTCCTAATTCTTTGGCCACAGCTCTGTCCCCTTTAAAACAGGCTGTGTCAGTGCCCTGTCCACCTACCTGTCTCCTTCCTGTCTCCCCTGTCTCCTCCTGTCCCTCCCGTGGTTATGTCACCCTCCCTGTCTCTGTCCCTCCCTGTGTGAATGTCCCCTCCCTGTCTCCCCTGTCCACCCTCCCTGTCTTTAATCAGGCCCTGTCCCCCGTCCCCTCATGTCTCCCCTGTCCCTCCTGCTCCCCCGTCCCCTCCCTGTCTCCCTTCCCCCCCTGTCTCCCCTGTCCCCTCCCTTCCCCTGTCCCCCCCTCCCCCTTCCCTCCCTTCCCCCTTTCCCCTCCATTCTCCCTGTCCCCCCTGTCTCCCCTGTCCCCTCCCTCCTTCCTCCCCTCTCCCCCTCCCCTCCCTCTTCCCTTGTCTCCCCTTGTCCTCCCTCACTGTTCCTTCCCTCCTGTCCCCTCCCTCTCCCCTGTCCCCCCTCCCCTGTCTCCCCCTGCCCTCTTCCCCTCCCTGTCCCTCCCCCCTGTCCCCTCCCTGTCTCCCCTGTCCCCTCCTCCCCTTCTCTCCCTTTCCCTCCCTGTCCTCCCCTGTCCCCCATTTCCCTGCCTCCCTCCCATGTTCTACCCCTGTCCCTCCTGCTCCCCTGTCCCCTCCTGCCCCCGTCCCTCCCTGTGTCCCCTCCCTGTCTCCTGCCCGTCCCTTCCCTTTCCCCTTTACTCCCCTGTCCCTGCCATGGTCTCCTTCCCCTCCGTCTCCCCTGTCCCCCCATGTCTCCCCTGTCCCTCCCTGTTCTTCCCCTGGTCCCCTGTCCTCCGGGCCTGTCCCCCGCTGTCCCCCTTCCACTCCCTGATCCCCTGTCCCCTCGTCTCCCTGTCCCCTCCTACGCTCCCTGTCCCCTCCATGTCTCCATTCCCCTCTGTCTCCTGTCCCCTCCAGTCTCCCCTGTCCCCCTCCATGTCTCCCCTGTCCCCTCCCTGGTCTCCCCTGTCCACCTCCCTGTCTCCCATGTCCCTCCCTGTCTCCCCTGTCCCCTCCCTGTCTCCCCTGTCCCCTCCCTGACTCCCCTGTCCCCTCCCTGTCTCCCCTGTCCCCTCCCTGTCTCCCCTGTCCCCTCCCTGACTCCCCTGTCCCCTCCCTGTCTCCCCTGTCCCTCCCTGACTTCCCCTGTCCCCTCCATGTCTCCCCTGTCCCCTCCCTGTCTCCCCTGTCCCCTCCCTGTCTCCCCTGTCTCCTCCCTGTGTGTTAATGTCCCCTCCCTGTCTCCTGAGTTTTAGGTTTTCATTCACTAAATGCTGTTGTGGTTCTCTTCCCTTCCTCTTCCAGGTGGGCACAGAGTTCACCACCATCCTGTATAACTTCATGTGTAACTCCAGCTGTGTGGGAGGCATGAACCGACGCCCCATCCTCATCATCGTCACCCTGGAAACCAGAGAGTAAGACATTTCAATACAACTATATTGTCCCTCAAGGGGACATCAAGACAATCAAGTATCATCAGTGTCCCAGATCTTATTTGTGTTGTCCTGCCAACTTCCATGGTCATTATCGTGCCAAACAGTTGACTGTGCAGCACAGATCTGATCTGGGACCAGGCTAATGGTCAGAGCCACACAGTACACAGAGAGAGTTTGAACACGTGCTCTTTCCATGACATAGACTGACCAGGTGAATCCAGGTGATGTCGCTTGTTAAATCTACTTCAAATCGGTGTAGCTGAAGGGGAGGAGACAGGTTAAAGAAGGAGTTTTAAGCCTTGAGACAATTGAGATATGGATTGTGTATGTGTGCCATTCAGAGGGTTAATGGGCAAGACACAAGATTTAAGTGCCTTTGAACTGGGTATGGTAGTAGGTGCCAGGTTTGGACAACAGCTGGTTTATGTCAAGAACTGCAACGCTGCTGTGTTTTTCACGCTCAAACAGTTTCCCGTGTGTATCAAGAACGGTCCACCACCCAAAGGACATCCAGCCAACTTGATATAACTGTGGGAAGCATTGGGGTCAACATGGGCCAGCATCCATATAGAACGCTTTTCGACACCTTGTGGAGTCCATGTTCCGACAAATTGACGCTGTTCTGAGGGCAAAAGGGGGGTGGGGGTGCAACTCAATATTAGGAGAGTATTCCTAATGTTTTTCACACTCAGTGTAAATAAATGTATTATATAGTTCTCTATACATGGCTCTGGCTCTAGATTGGTATATTAGCCCTCCCTATAGATGGTAAAGAAATGTTGCTGACCTGGTATATCTCCGTCTGTGTCTCTCCTACCTCCCAGAGGTCAGGTGCTGGGTCGGCGATGCTTCGAGGCCAGGATCTGTGCGTGCCCTGGCCGGGACCGTAAGGCGGACGAGGACAGCATCCGCAAGCAGCATGTTACTGATGGAACAAAGACCAGTGAGGGTATGAAACGCCGTAAGTAGTGCTGGGAGCTGGTGGAGGACTGACTGACTGGCTGGCTGTGATCATACCATACTCTCTCTGTCTCTCTGTCTCTCTCTCACACCATCTCTGTTTCTCGCTCACACAGACACCCACTGCATGCTGCCTGCCCCTGTGCTGTAGTCTCTCTCCTCCTACCCTGTGCTGTAGTCTCTCTCCTCCTACCCTGTGCTGTAGTCTCTCTCCTCCTACTCTGTGCTGTAGTTCTCTCATCCTACCCTGTGCTGTAGTCTCTCTCCTCCTACCCTGTGCTGTAGTTCACTCTCCTCCTACCCTGTGCTGTAGTCTCTCTCCTCCTACCCTGTGCTGTAGTCTCTCTCCTCCTACCCTGTGCTGTAGTCTCTGTCCTACTACCCTGTGCTGTAGTCTCTCTCCTCCTACCCTGTGCTGTAGTCTCTCTCCTCCTACCCTGTGCTGTAGTCTCTCTCCTCCTACCCTGTGCTGTAGTCTCTCTCCTCCTACCCTGTGCTGTAGTCTCTCTCCTCCTACCCTGTGCTGTAGTCTCTCTCCTCCTACCCTGTCCTGTAGTCTCTCTCCTCCTACCCTGTGCTGTAGTCTCTCCTCCTACCTGTGCTGTAGTCTCTCTCTCCTACCCTGTGCTGTAGTCTCTCTCCTCCTACCCTGTGCTGTAGTCTCTCTCCTCCTACCCTGTGCTGTAGTCTCTCTCCTCCTACCCTGTGCTGTAGTCTCTCTCCTCCTACCCGTGCTGTAGTCTCTCTCCTCCTACCCTGTGCTGTAGTCTCTCCTCCTCCTACCCTGTGCTGTAGTCTCTCTCCTCCTACCCTGTGCTGTAGTCTCTGTCCTCCTACCCTGTGCTGTAGTCTCTCTCCTCCTACCCTGTGCTGTAGTCTCTCTCCTCCTACCCTGTGCTGTAGTCTCTCTCCTCCTACCCTGTGCTGTAGTCTCTCTCCTCCTACCCTGTTCTGTAGTCTCTCTCCTCCTACCCTGTGCTGTAGTCTCTCTCCTTCTACCCTGTGCTGTAGTCTCTCTCCTCCTACCCTGTGCTGTGTCTCTCTCCTCCTACCCTGTGCTGTAGTCTCTCTCCTCCTACCCTGTGCTGTAGTCTCTCTCATCCTACCCTGTGCTGTAGTCTCTCTCCTCCTACCCTGTGCTGTAGTCTCTCTCCTCCTACCCTGTGCTGTAGTCTCTGTCCTCCTACCCTGTGCTGTAGTCTCTCTCCTCCTACCCTGTGCTGTAGTCTCTATCCTCCTACCCTGTGCTGTAGTCTCTCTCCTCCTACTCTGTGCTTGTTTTCCATCTTATATGCTTGCTGGCGTAGAGTTCTAACCAATCTTATGTCCAACTGGTGTAACCGGACCAGGTAGCTACATGTATTGACCAGGCCTCTGTCCTCCTCTCTTCCCTCTGTCCTCCTGTCCTCCCTCGGTCCTCCTGTCCTCCCCCTGTTCCCCTTCTTCACCTCTCCAGCCTTCCGCCAGGCCTCCCATGGGATCCAGATGTCCTCCATCAAGAAGAGAAGATCCACTGATGAGGAAGTGTTTTGTCTGCCTGTAAGTGTCCAGTCTGTCCACACCATAGATCATTTAATAGCTTTATTTTCTATGGTCCTCTGTTCCTTTTACCTGAGTTTTCCCCAGGGAATGAACTGACCCCATGATGATGTTAGTACAGTATGGGATTGATTTGTTTAGTGCTGATACTGTCTGTCCTATAGAAATAGAGCAATAACACCAATTAACATATAACAGTCTTTGTTGGATACATGAGACAGAAAACAAACAATATTTTGGGGAGCGTTTCAAAATCAGTCTGATCTTCAGAATAATAATATGCCATTTAGCAGACGCTTTTATCCAAAGCTACTTACAGTCATGTGTGCATACATTTTTTACGTATGGGGGTGGTATCGGGGATCGAACCCACTACCTTGGCGTTACAAGCGCCGTGCTCTACCAGCTGAGCTACAGAGGGTCCTCTGTCCATACTGGCAAAAGCAACCCTGATACACATGGTCTCTATAATACAATATTACATACATTTCTGTATGTAATACATTGTGTACATTATATTGCATACATTGTATAGAATATATTCATCTTGTGGTATGTCCCAGCTGCTAACCAACCTCTCTCTCTCTCTCCCTCTATAGATTAAAGGCCGTGAAATCTATGAGATTTTGGTAAAAATCAAAGAGTCTTTGGAACTCATGCAGTTTCTGCCTCAGCACACTGTAGAATCATACAGGCAGCAGCAGAACCTCCTGCAGAAACAGTGAGTACTACTCTCTGACAGACAGACACAGACAGACAGACAGACAGGCAGACACACAGACAGACAGGCAGACAGACAGAGACAGACAGACAGAGACAGACAGACAGACAGACAGACAGACAGACAGACAGACAGACAGACAGACACACAGACAGGCAGACAGGCAGACAGACAGGCAGACACAGACAGACAGACAGAGACAGACAGACAGACAGAGACAGGCAGGCAGACAGACAGACAGACAGACAGACAGACAGACAGACAGACAGACAGACAGACAGACAGACAGACAGACAGACAGACAGACAGACAGACAGACACATACTGGAGTCCACTAGCAACTAGCAGTCCTGCTTCTTCTCCCCTGAAGCAAACCGAGCTAGGCTCTATCTCAATGATTCCTTGCATCCTCTCTCCTCAACTGCATTGGAGGAGAAGGTCCAAGGTCTCTCCTCTTCTTCATTGGAGGAGAAGGTCTCTCCTCTTCTTCATTGGAGGAGAAGGTCTCTCCTCTTCTTCATTGGAGGAGAAGGTCTCTCCTCTTCTTCATTGGAGGAGAAGGTCCAAGGTCTCTCCTCTTCTTCATTGGAGGAGAAGGTCCAAGGTCTCTCCTCTTCTTCTCCAATGTGTTTTGAGAAGGAGGCGAGGAGACAGGATGCAAGGAATCAAGGAAAGATAAATTGAGAAAGAGCCCTAGGCCCACTTGGTTCCAGACAGGCCTCCAGCCTGCAAGGCCCGCCCTCCTCAGCTTCACGCTCTGGTTCCTTGTTTTGTCTTCACACTTGACATTTTAACTTAACTACTTGAGTTGCTCTTTGGAGATTGTTTGCCTGTGGATTAAATAAGAACTGTACTGTAGCACGCAAAGAAAACGGACTGTGGAGATCGCCCATGTGACTCTGCTCGTTGTTTTGGATTCGACACCACATTGACTGAGCATGATCGCTTGTTTGGTTGCATGTTATTGAGAGTGATGGTTGTTACACGTTGGTAACTGGTCCTGAACCGTAAAGTAATGATGCTTGAGTGTTTTTCCCAGTGAACACATCACATTGATAACCATATAATCTGGAGAAGAGTGTTGTGGCTGAGACAATAACTGTTGAGATGGATCAAGTTGTTTGCTTTTCATCAGAGATGTCTACAAGTTGCGTGATGCGTTTGCAGCTCAGAGGGTGAACCTTGTTTCGTGGTGTAGTTGTTTGTATCGACCCTGTATTAGGTTATAATATATCAGATAGACAGATGAAACATCTAGAGACTGATGGAGACACCTTTAGGTGCACGGCCAGGTTTGTACAACAGCCGTTTTCAAATCCCAGTCAGTCCCAGTCATTGGCTCGAGCTTAGTCATACTTTACCAATCTCTGCCCTCCCTCGCCCTCTGTCCCCGCCCATTCAGCTAAGGCTGAGGAGAGAAAAGCAGTTATCTGTAAATGATAGTTTTAAATAACCTGCTGCTTTGACGCACTATGATGATTATTGCTTACGCTATTGTTTCTCATTCAGAAAACTGGCAGGCTGACGCAGTGAGGTCACAATGCTTACATTCTGATTTTTAAAATCCTGCTTTGAAAAGCCCGTTTTAGGTGTAGTTAGTTTAGGTTCTGTCACACTGCCCTCTGGCGCCCCCCCTCCCCAGTGTGGCTGGATTTGGCGGTGCAGCAGGTCATGACGGGGACTGGTGGGAGCTTTTAGGTCATGCTGCAATATTGGTGCTCAGGTTTTTATTTTGTATCAACAGAACAGTATTATCTAGACCAGGGGTGTCAAACATACGGCCCTTATTATTATTACTTTTTTTGGGGGGGGGAACGAACTCAATATACTTTTAAAAAATGACTTCAACCAAATAGAAACTGTGTAGACCTACATTAATACAGTTTCTTGACTGTGTCCAGCTCTCTAATAATCACATAAATTAAAGCTAGACAGTCAGGGAGTATCGGAAATTCCAAAATCAATGGATAGTTTTGCAAATGGAAATATAAAAATGTCAGTGCGGCCCTCCCAACCTCGTTGAAGACCGAATGCGGCCCAAGGGGGAAAATTAGTTTGACACCCCTGATCTAGACTATTACCCTATTTGATGATACTTTGAACATTTGCAAACGCAAAAAAAAAAAAAAATGGTGTACACTGACATTCCTGCTGTTAGTTCAGCAGACTGATGTGTGTCAGTGATGGGACTGTGTAGTAGATATAGCTAGCTATTCTCTGCATGCTGCTTTTCATTCACTTTTCATCTTCATGACCTTTCACCTGTATTCTTCCTAACCCTAGTAGTGTTCTTCATGATCAAAATAAAACCAACTGCCCCCTTTTGAGAAAGTGTTTTATTTGTTATTTTCATGGTCTTTAACTCTGATGAGTCCAAGAGTCTCTCGATATTCTAGAGATTTAAATCAACTGTTGCTGTTCAACAGTCCTACCTTCTGGACACTCATATGACCTTACCCTACCCTATACTACCCTACCCTATACTACCCTACCCTACACTGAGATAGATCTCTACCTAAGAAGCCCTACTCATCTGGTTCTATATTGATTACTTAGTGTCTTCAGAAAGTATTCACACCCCTCGACTTATTCCATTATTTTGTTGTGTTACAGCCTACATTTAAAAAATTGATTAAATGGAGATGTTTTATCACTAGCCTACACACAATACCCCATAATGTCAAAGTGGAATTACGTTTGTAGAAATGTTTACAAAAAAATCTATAAAATGAAAAGCTGAAATGTCTTGAGTGAATAAGTATTCAGCCCCTTTGTTATGGCAAGCCTAAATAAGTTCAGGTGTAAAAATGTGCTTAACAAGTCACATAATAAGTTGCATGGACTCACTCAGTGTGCTCTTATAGTTTTGAACATTATTTTTTAATGACTATCTCATCTCTGTACCCCACATACACAATTATTTGTAAGGTCCCTCAGTCGAGCAGTGAATTTCAAACACAGATTCAAACACAAAGACCAGGGAGGTTTTCCAATGACTCGCAAAGAAGGGCACCTATCGAATTACAGAGTTTAATGGCTGTGATAGGAGAAAACTGAGGATGGATCAACAACATTGTCAATTAGGTTAGTATTGTAGCGTAAACCACAGAGTGAAAAGAAGGAAGCCTGTACAGAATACAAATATTCCAAAACATCCTGTTTGCAACAAGGCACTAAAGTAATACTGCAAAAAATGTGGAAAAGCAATTAACTTTTTGTCCCGAATACAAAGTGTTATGTTTGGGGCAAATCCAATCCAATACATTACTGAGTATCACTCTCCATATTTTCAAGCATAGTGGTGGGTGCATCATGTTATGGGTATGCTTGTAATCGTTAAGGACCGGGTCGTTTTTTTCAGGATTTAAAAAAACAGAATGATATGATATGATATGATGATGATGTGGTCCTCTGTAGCTCAGCTGGTAGAGCACGGCGCTTGGGTTCGATCCCCGGGACCACCCATACACAAAAAATAAAATAATGTATGCACGCATGACTGTAAGTCGCTTTGGATAAAAGCGTCTGCTAAATGGTATATCATATCACAACTAATAGTGTTAAAAGTCAAGGGGTGTGAATGCTTTCTGAAGGCCCTTTTATTTCAATTCTCTTTTTATATGGCTAAAAAAAAAAAATCACTTGGCAAAAATCTTGCTTCCCACTACACAATTTACGTCACGGGTTTCATGTTCTTACGTCGTCCCGAAATTCATAGAAAGTTTCAGGACATCTTGGGAATAATATCGGGTTCACATCCTGTTATGGGAAACGTTTTAATGCGCAGGCATCCTAGTTAACCATGCTGATCAACAGCTTGTAGCTTGTTACTTTATTGATGATAGTTTGACAACTTGCTGCTTCATTAAAACCCATTCATTATGATAAAATAACGTTACTACAGTACTTGCTTATGGAAGGATCATTGCATTTGGTAGCGCTGTAGCTAGTTGGTTAGCTTCTCTTTCGTTTTATATGAAGTGACAGTCTCAGGCTTAGCTAGCTAGCTAATATTCTTCGTGTACATGATCAAATTTCAGAAATACAAAAAAAATCGCGCGACTATGACCTCCTCGAAATTAAACTTTAGAAATTAATTACAGATTTCTTAAATGTATCTTGATATATTCTGACTATTTTTGAGGGCAACGTAGTAGTGACTGTTGCTAAGTAACATACTAAAATGAATGGGAAGAAGTTGCTGCCAAGGGCGCCGAATCGACATAGGAGGCCCACTCGATAAAGAGGCTTCTGAAGGGCGCAGTGGAGCCCTCGATGACTCGACAACTAGCGTTTGAGATTGAAATCGTTCCTGTCTTCTACTTCAAAACGGATTGTTATTTCTTCCTTCTTTCTCTTCTCTGGTTCCCGTCTGCAGTCCGCTTAAAGCCCGGCTACATTCTGAGCTCCTGGAGCCCCTAGCAGCAGAGGAGACGATGCAGTACCTGTTGAGAGCCTCACCTCAACCTCACATTCCTCCTCCCTTCAGTTCTCCTCCACCCCAGGAAAAAAGAAGAAGGGGGCAGAGAAAGAGAGACGAGAAGACGAGGGCGAGAGAGAGCGAGCGATAGAGAGAGAGAAAGAGAGAAGCCGCGCCGAGATATCTATGCTGTATAGCTCCTCTATCTCTCTCTCGACTCTCTCTCTCTCGTAATCGAGCGCTCTATCTCTCTCTCTCTCTCTTCTCTCTCTCTCTCTCTCTCTTCTTCTCTCCTCTCTATCTCAATTAAGGGCTTTATTGGCATGGGAACGTGTGTAACATTGCCAAGCAAGGAAGTAGATAGTAAACAAAAGTGAAATAAACAATAAATATTAACAGTAAACATTACACTCAGAAGTTTCAAAAGAATAAAGACATTTCAAATGTCATATTATGTATATATACAGTGTTGTAACAATGTGCAAATAGTTAAAGTACAAATGGGAAAATAAATAAACATAAATATGGGTTGTATTTACATCTCTCTCTCTCTCTCTCTCTCTCTCTCTCTCTCTGAGGTTGAG